AAAAATTGAAATATTAATACAAGCTGAAAATAAAAAAAATTGAAAAATATTATTAACAAGAAATTAAAATTCAAAGACTCCAAATCAAGTTACATCATGACGTTTCGATTGCTAGTGGATACTGGGTGATAACTGGTCAACCACCTTCAAACAAACTTCAATCACTGTTTCTCTGTACCGTACTGTGTGTGAGTGAGTGAGAGAGAGAGAGAGAATGTGTTTATTATCCAAGAGATCCAAGAGACCTTATTGACACTCAATTGACAGATAAATGGACAATTACATAATTACATGAAAATAATACATATAAATATTCAAATGTAGGTAAAATTACACATATATTATTATATATTTGTTTAAAATCTGTTTTTCCCTCAATCAGCTGTCGCCCCCTTACGAACGACAACTCTCAGAAGTTGAAAAACTTGTGCAAGCTAAGGACTAACAAGGTCTCACCTTTCAACGTGTAATTCCTGACACGGATTCCTAAGCACCGTCAATTTCATATCGTTTCGTCATCAAAATATTCTGTCAGATTATAATAGGCTTTGTGTGCCAGTCTCTCAAGTTTCTTTTTCCTAAAAGTTTTGAGAGATCCATGTTCTTTAGATCTTCAGGAAGTTTATTATACATTTTGACACCGACGTAAATTATTGAGTCTTTGCTCAGTGTGGATTTAGGGATGATTAATGATAAATTCCTTGCATTCCGTACAGTGCGATTGCTATTTTCACATTTATTACACAGTATTTTTCAAAACCCTAATCAAATTTAAAATCATTTTATTGTCTATATTTTATCAATTTTAGTCAATCTACTTTATATACAAATATCTTTTTGACTAGTCCGATGAGTTACATATTCTGTAGTTTTCACCACACAATGTGTATTCTTTTGTGATGAATAAAAATGATTCTGAATATGATTTGTGAATTTCAAATCGATATCTATGTTAAGTCCCACGAATTTTATATTGTTGTCAGATGCTATAGAGTCAGCACCTGATTCTATATAGGGAAGAAGACATATAAATGTGAGATTTTTTTTTAATTGAAATTCAAACATAGAAAATTTGCATCGCACCACGACTTAATTTTTGTAGGTCTCTTGTTACATATTTTTTAATTGGACGAACGAGAGCCGTCTGTCCCAATGTCTGTCAAATATGATACAATGACTGTCGTGGCAGTAGCTAAAGAAATAGTGCTACTGTTAGAAATCATTGTGTATATCTCTTCGACACATTCATGATACTTATCTAATTTCTGTTCCATTTTTTCAGTAACGTTATTCCGCAAGGTGAGATACTGGGCTAGAACATACGGACCAATTTACAGAATTGACATGACTTCTCTCTACCCTGGTGTGAACATTACAGGTGCAGAGGAATTTGAGGTAACAAGATGTTATTTCAGGTCATGTACAGGGTGTTTCCACCCGCTTCTGCGGGTGATTTGTTAGGTCGTTTCAACAAAAAAGTTCTCATTAAAATATGTCTGGAGATGCTTCGTTTCTGAGATACAGAGCGTTGAATATCATTACACCGATTTGGTTGAAATTCGCTACAGTTATTTGAAGTAACGAGGTGCTCATCCAAGATAGAGTAAAACAAAACAAAACCGAAGCGTGATGTTCACGTGATCGCCCAGTGTCAGATGGAAAGGGCAGCGTTCATTGGTGAATTCGCTTTCTTGGTACGAGTTCGGTACCAGCACAGGGTTGTGATCAGTCGTTTGCATGTTTGTGTGGCGTGCGTTATAGTATATTGTTTAAAATTGTTTTCCAAAATATCCAGTACAGACACTGCTGATGACACTGTGAGCTATCCTCTGAGTCCAGCCAGGAAACGATCCAAAAAAAGACATTTGAGTGTTGAGATGAAAGAAGTGATTTTAAATAAGCATTTACGGACCAGCTTTACTACAAACTGATGCTTCAGAAAATACAAAATAGTTGTATTCGATTTTCGTATGGAATCTGTAAATACGATCACATAAGGTCATCCTTTGAGAATTCAGGTTGGCTGAAACTTAATGCCCTAAGAGAACTGCACCTTCTTACTTTCACTCATAAAATATTGCAAACCGGAACTCCACCCTATCTGCGTGATAAACATTCATGTTTTCTCTCTGCTCTTTTTTGCACGCTCTTATTAATATTATTAATTCTTCATATTTTTCTGTTGCTCAGTATTCACCTTTTGAGTATAAATATATAATTATTCATTGTTTCAACTCTGAAAGTTTTACTTATATGTTACTGTAGGAATAATATTTTATAGGCGATTGCTGGTCCAATGAAGCATATTCAAAAGGCGCCAATTTACTTTTTTTTGAATCGCTGGCTAGGAGAAGGCTTGTTGACAAGTACAGGTATGTTCAATGATAATAAAGATACAACTAGATTCTTACAGAACTAGCTGGAGTATTTTGAGTCAACCAAAAAACAATGATAAAGTAACTATTGAATGAACTTGATCTTGACTTGATGATTCATGGATAGCTATTTTCTGGTTTCACTAAATTTGATGGATTTCAGGTTCCAAATGGCAGACTCGTCGAAAAATCTTGACACCAGCCTTTCATTTCAGTATTTTGCAGCAATTTGTTGGAGTTTTCAATAATGAAACGAAAAAATTAGTGGAAGTTCTTAGAAATGAAACTGAAAAAACCTCGACCAATGTCTTTCCATTAATATCAGAGTTCACATTGAATACTATCGCAGGTTAGTACAAATGGGTAAGGTACATGGCTAAGTATTTCAAATCGTGAACAGTTCAAATTTTGAATATCAAGGTTGAACAAATGAAAACAAAATGATGATCACCAATTATCTACAAATATCTGTATTCTACCAAGAATGATCAAGAGAAAGTACAATTTTAAATTACACACTTTCGAAGTGAAAGAGTGTTAAAAATTTGTTTGTGGTTCACTTCGATGAATTTTGGTCTCTATTAATCCAAATTTCTGACTCTTGGTTAAAACATATATGAGCCATTATCTTTTGGATCTTCAATCTTTAACATGAATCTGGCCAAAGCGACCAACGGGTTTATTAGGGAAAACTTTGACATTATTATCTGATGGAATCTTCAAAAAGCACTGGCTTCGTCAAGTTTTGTTGTTGTAGAAGTTCATTTCATATTTATTTGTACTCGCCATACTCACCACAGGGTGTCAATTTGAAAGAACTAAGCAAGTGAGCAAGCAAATGTGGTTCTGCCACATTCGTTTTCCTAGAGGAAACTAATACCTGAACTTTCTATCAGCATATCCACCACATGTCTCTCTATATCATTGAGCTGATGAAAAATTAATTCCATGTCATGATTTCAGCGTTCAACATTTGTTTTGACGTCGTTAGAATTTGTGATGATTCAATCGGCTCTGTTTACAGTCTTAGGAAATAACAATACTCTTTCGATTCTTATTTTGAATAATTGTAACAGCAGAGTTTCCTGAAAATTGTGAATTGTAGATAATGACTGTTTTCAACAAATCCAAAAATTGTTTCAGAATCATCCATGGGGACCAAACTGAACCAGAAAACTAAAAAGGATAAAGAATACATAACTTCCATTAATAAAATAGGACACATATTTTTCCAGAGGTTGAAGAAACCATGGCTATACATCTCATGTATTTACTACAATTTTAGTGGATTCGGACGTCAGGAGATGAAATTAGTTAATAACCTCCACTCTTTTACGAATGACATTATTTCAAAAAGAGCGAAAAACTTCGAAATTTTCGAAGTGGACGAAAATGATGAAAGTAACTATTGCTATGCGAAACAAAAAAAGTTGGCTTTGTTGGATTTACTGTTGAATGCTAAGATGAATAGCGGGGATATTGATGATGAAGGTATTAGAGATGAAGTTAATACCTTCATGTTCGAGGTATGTAAGAAAAATATTCACATAAGACCCGGGCTGGAATTTTAGGGGCTGGGGGAGAAAGCGAAGGAAAATATAGGCAGACAGATATTTCGTAACAAAAACTGATTTCAAATAAGTAGGTCAATTGACTCCTCTAGTAATACAAAACAACAGTTTCTATCATTGATCACAAATTTTAACAAAATTTATAAATAATTTCAAATACTTCGAATGACTCCTGTCGGATATGGCTAAAGCAGATAAAAAAATCTCATCTAGGTATTTGAAATACCTAGATGAGTTCTTGAAGTCAACAGAAAAATTCTGATGGATCATTTCAGATAACAGATCTGTTTAAAAAAAAATCTGTTTAAAATCTGTTTTTCCGCTAACAACCCTCAGGAGTCGAAACTTGTGCGAGCTGAGGACTAACGAAGTCTTACCTTTCAACGTGTGATTCCTAACACGGCTGACATTTTGAATGAACCACCAGATGGATCCATATGAGGAGGTTTATTTCTACTGGAGATACAGGGAACTGTTGAGTTTCATAATGAGAAGCAACGTTGAAATTCATTAAAGAATATTTCCTATTTTTGTTACTTTGAAAATTGAGCAGTCGGAAAAACTAAAAAAGCTACCGTGGATGAGACTTGATCCCAAGACCCCTGGAACGTTCTAGCAACTCCAAGAAGGAGCTTACAAATTGGTGTGACAAAGCTACGAATTTCTAGTAGTTCTCTTTTGGTATTTAGTGAGGAACTCCTGAGTAAAAATGTATATTTCGAAACGAAATCCCAGTTCAATGATTGTGTTTGATGTAGAACATATCCATGTTAGAAATCACACCTTAAAAGGCAAGACCTCGTTAGTCCTTAGCTCGCAAAAGTTTCGACTGCTGAGGGTTGTCGTTCGTAGGGGTGTGATAGCTGGTAAACGAAAAAAAACATATTTGAAACATATATTTTTTTAAAACACATTAAGAAGTAGAAAATTATGAAGGCTCGCATGCGATTGAGAAAAAAATGAAAACACTGATCTGTTATTGACTTCACGGGTAGTGAGTTATGAATCTGATAAAATATGATTTATCCAAAAATGTTAGTGTTTGTCTATTCAACCAACAGGAAACTACATAATTGATGCATTTTTCAATAGCCATTAAAAAGATTTCCTTCCATCATAGATGTTCATCATAGATTGTACACTCGTATAATGAATCACAATTTATTTCAGGGATTCGACACTACGTCTACGTCAATTTGTTTCACGTTGATGGTTTTAGCTAACTACAAGAATTGGCAGGTACGTAACTAATTTCTACTGATATTTCATAAAGAATAAAGAATATCATTGATTCAAAAGATCCGGTTGAATTCAATAATGAAAATATTTAATACTCTCCTAGTTCTAAATTTATTGGTGTTGTTCTGAGTTAATATGTATCATGGAGAAAACACATTAAAACAACAAGAAAATAATAAGCACCCATATTTGGAATTTTTCATTAGTATACAGCGTGACTCACGGTCGATGGTAGGTTAGACGTTTCTGGAAAACGCAAAGCATGATTTTTCTGAAAATTTCACCTCTCAAATTTCCTTATCCGTTCTATCGATCTGAAATATTTTCAGCATTGCGGCGTTGCCACTTCCATCAAAGAGTCCTAGCAACTTTATTTTTTTAAATGGAACACCCCGTATATTAATATATTTTTGGAATCGCTCTGGTATTTTAACACTTTTCTGTTAATAATATCCTATACTTATCTCTATCTGTTTTCGAGATAAAAAATAAATTCTGCTAAATATATGGTCCAAAACATAGCCTTAATTGAAATTGAGTACATCAGTACTCTTAATTCATGAAAAGTTGATATTTTGATGATAGTTTGGACAAACTCGAAATATTCAAATAACACCAAGAAATCGACTCCATATCATACAGGGCGTGCTAAAATTACTATTAGTTCCATTGTGCATATAAGTAGTCGAAAGTTCATTTTTTCAAATGAAACCCCCTGTATATTACTCGGTAAATTGAAAGATGGTGAAAAATGCTTCAAGATGATTATCATATTAATCTGATGAGTGCATTTATATTTACGTTGATACTCATATTCAAACATTTATGTATGTATACAAGGTGGGCCATTGAAAACTTGACATGTAGGTTTTGGGTACTAATCTTGCAAATCCTAAATAACGCTCAGACACGTCGATTTTATTTGGGAGGGGGACAGTTTTTTTCCCCATTTACAACGTCGTCACTTCAACCTGGAGCAGAGGGGTGAACAACCCTTGAAATTTTACAACGGTGTACCTTTTTTATTTTTAATTAGGACGAACTACATTGAATTCAGAGTTGAAGTTACTTACTTTATTCTCATGTCAGCATATGCTAAAAATGGGCCCTCCAGCGGCCATGCAATAATAGAGATTCTGCTGGAAACGTTCTCGAACATTGTGGAGCATTTCTGGAGTGATATGGTGACATTCATTTGTAATTCGTTGCCGCAAATCTTCGAGTGATGCAGGAGGAGTACAGTAAATTCTTCTATTCGACTGACCCCACAGAAAGAAATCTAGAGGCGAAAGGTCTGAGTACAACAGTTTATTGTTATAAACAATATTAAAGAAGTTAATTATCGGAAAGAACTCTTTTAAATACGTCCAAATTTGAAAAATGTACACCACTGTTTAGAGAATTCCAAGATCTTTCAAACGATGTGCGACTCGCCCCCTATTCCCTATTAAAATTCCAAGGATTGTTACCCCTCTGCTCCGGAGTTGAAGTGACGACGCTGTAAATTGGGAAAAAATTGTTACCCTCCCAATAAAAATCGACCTGTCTGAGCGTTTTTTCGAATTTGCAAGATTTGTACCCAAAATGTGTATGTGTATATGTGTTTATATGTATGTATATGTATATTTTTTCAAGTTTCAGTTCGGATTCATCTTTTTTTGAGCTCTGTTCGTACTTAGTTATGTTTTAGTTATTTTTTTTTGAATTTTTTTTCCCTGCTATAAACATTGTATGTTTCTTGGGGAAATAATAATAATAATAATAATGATAATTATCGTCTTTATTGTTACCCAGCTGTAGTTACATACAAATATTTAAATAAATTAGAGAGTTAGTTGCTGACATAACAAAAGACGAAGTTCAACTTAGTTAGCACTAAGTTGAAAGCAAGTATTACTGAGTTGTTCTTCCACTCAACCTCAAAAAGATTCACCTAAGCTGAAACAAAAAAAAAGTAATACATGAAATAAAAAAAATGGGATTGTTCCAATATCTATTTGGATGCTGGAGAGGACGTCCATTACTAAGACTTATTCTGGTCTCATAATGATGAAAAGTGTATAGGGTTGGGCAGTTTATATTTAAATGAATTGTTATTATCGTTATTATCATTATTTTGTCCATCTGGCGAATTGATAAACTGTAATACAACTCTGAAATGTATCTAAATTAGAGTATTGCTTAAAATTCATTTCATATCCCGCTATTTCTTTCCTTCTCATTTTTTATATACTTTTGAAATTTTTCGTAAATGACATATTTTCAGATGTTACTATTTTTATTTGATTAATTTGAATTGCATTGATCAAAATGTTATTCAAAAACAGAACAGGATAGATTTTACCAAATAAAATCACTATATTCCAAATGATTTTGAATTTGAATCATTTGCTAGTTTTGAATAAATAGCTTGCAAGCTATGCTGTACACAATTTTATTTCTTATTGGGAGTGAGTTTTCATCTATTCGCACTAATTCATTGAAATTACAATTTCTGGGCTGTTGAAATTTTAATATTTTGTTCATTTCCGACAACGATAAATGGTTTCGGATTTGTTTAATGCAAGGAATAAATTTAAGTCACCAGATTGACCTCAAAATATATTTTCCAGGAATTGGCTTATCAAGAAATAATTCAAGTCCTAGGTGATTCTAAAAAAGAACCTTCCATACACGACTTGAATGAAATGAAAATATTAGAAAGGATCATCAAGGAAAGTCTTAGGCTATACCCCAGTGTTCCATTCATTGCTAGAATACTAGAGGAAGACACGATGGTCTGCAGCAGAGTCATACCCAAGGGCGTACCGATCAATATACATATCTACGATATTCATAGGGATCCTAAACATTGGCCAGATCCAGAGAAGTTTGATCCGGATAGGTTTTTGACAGACAACTGCGTCAACAGGCATCCGTTCGCATTTGTGCCATTTAGTGCTGGACCCAGAAATTGTATAGGTGAGTTGTAGCTGGATGTTTTGAATCGGAATTGGCCGTGGTGGTAGTGCGCCTGACTCACGATCGGAAGGCCGTGGGTCCGATTCCCGCCTCGACCAGATATTTTTCTCGAGAGAATTTATCTGGTTGAAGCTGGGATGATTCTGCAACCGTGTTAGGAATTACACGTTAAAAGAAGCAGCTGTAGCAGAGCACGCATAAGTTAGTTCGTTACAAAGGCAACAAGTTCAACAAGAAGAGAAATACTGCTTATCTGGCCATACCGGTCTCATTGAGGAGATTGGACCGGCCGAAAAACAGGCACCTGGTTGGTCATGAGAGGCCCTTCCTCTTCACTTATGAATTTACCCAACTCTCTGGAAGATAATCCCTGTGCCAACGATGTGCAAAACATTAAACAACCGGTTAAGCAGACCAATGGCGGGTCGAAAAAGCACCGTCTGGTGCAGGACCACGAATCTTTGTTTTTGGGCTCAGGTTCCAACTAATTGCCTCGCAGTAAAGGCTGCAGTTGAAGGACGAATCCCGCTAGGCGATCGATATCGAAGCTCGGATTTTCAACTGATCCCCTTGGTGAGCCTGAATTATATTTGACATACGTGGTATGAGTGTGCTGTCGATCCCCAATACGTTTTTGTCAGGGAGATGTCATCAACTTCACTTATTTGGACTACTTGTCCCTCATTGACATTTGAATTCGTCAAATCAGTCGTGGTCCAGCATAGTACCACTGATGAAACCTATGACGGTACTAAACAGCGTTGGATGGTGTTGGATAACGAATGGTTTGTTTTTGGGCCCTGGTTTTAATAAGCCGGGCCTCTGGTCCGTATCTTCTTTGAATGAACCTAAAAGACATTTATCCTTTGGAAACTGATGACTAAATACTGTTATAATTACCAGATAGGTATCATTTCATTTTGTCAATATTGAATCATTTTGTTTTTCAGGTCAGAAGTTTGCCATGCTTGAGCTTAAAACAGTTTACTGTGGGATCTTGAGAAACTTTATATTGGAACCTGTTGATACACCAAACACCTTGCGGCTGATACCTGACCTGATATTAAGAACAGAAAATGTTTCTTTGGAAGTAAAATTCAGGCTGAGACATCCACAGTAGTGAATAGGTGATTTTTAAATTCTTTTGATTTCTTATTTTCCACAAATATTCCTTCTTTACTGTTTCCACGGTGTTGTACATTTCTGCAATAACTTTCACTCTCAGGAAAAGCAGTGGCGTAGCCACGATTCAGTAAAAATCCCACACGCACGTCACTGGCAATAACTGAAATTGTAAGCAAAAAATGCTTTTTGGTGCCATGCATGCAGAAGCATAGTTTGTTTCACAAAAATACTTAGGATCGTAACAAAGTGATGAAAAAATATGTTTTCTTGAAAAAGAACGTATTATTCATCATATTAATCACAAGCAAATATATATTTTCTCACAAGAACCTGCATCATAGCGCATTGAAATTTTACTCGATTCTACGTAAGAATTAATACGATTACATATGATCATCTGTGAATAAAAAAACATTGCTGCAACAATACTTTATTTACTTTATTACATTTCACAAATACATAAATTTCACATCCATATTTGATTTTCAAACTGCAGGGAACAGGTTTCCTTCTAGGTAACAATAGCATAAAATTCAATCGTTTGTGAAATTTCTGAACTGATCTTATTAGAAAGTATCTAATGCCTTTCGAAGGGACATTCATCAAACTGCAGAGAACAGGTTGAGTTGTAGGTAACAATTAGCATAACATTGATTCGTTTGTGAAATTTCTAAACTAATCCCATTAGGAAGTTTCTGATGCCTTTTGGGGGGACATTCATCAAATTACAGAAAACAGGTTTCGTTGTAGGTAACAACAGCATAACATTGATTCTTTTGTGAAATTTCTGAACTAATCCTATTAGAAAATGTCTGATGCCTTTTGAGGGGACATTCATCTGTAGCAAACTGATTGATCTGAATCTTTATTGAGAAAGAGAAGGCTTCAAACATGTTCTCCGAAAAGATACTTCTAGGATAGTTCCACTCTAATATCTACATCTAAAGAAAGTTCATTGATACTTTTACAGAAACTCTTAATTAGTATCATACATGGAATATTACAGTTCAGTCTCAACAAATCACAATCAACGTTCTCAACTTTATTTGGAGTGGTCTTGTTGAATTTTTGCGAATTGAATAAGCTGAAAGGAGTATGGACGTTTTATTGTTTTGTCAGCTATTTTCCATACAAGTATCAACTTCAACAAAATATGGTACTTAGATTTTTGAATATTGTCTCTAGATAAAAACTAATTGAACAGTATTATTCGTCAGATAGTCCAAACTGTCAGATTCTAAAAACTGTGGGAATATACCAAAAAAGATTTGTATTTTTCTGATCGATATGAATTGAAGTTTGTAATATCTATTTCATAAATACCATTTTTTTGAATTTCAACAACCTGTATCTCAGAAACGAAGCAATTCCGGACGTATGTTTGTGTAAACTTTTGTTTTTAACGACCTAGCGAATCACCCTCTGAAGTTTCATATCGTAGTTAGGGACCACCCTGTATAAGATGAATACTATGAATTGAAAATTGATAATATTTAGTTATAAACTGGAATTTTAATTTTGATCTACCGTTTCAGGTGAATGCTCTATTTAAATCGTAACAAAAACAAATATATTCACCTACACCAGAAAAATCTATTTGATTTCACAGGCCAACGATGAAAATTGGTGTTGAATACAAAAAAGAAAACTGGAGGTTGTTTATTGATTCTTCCAAAACTAGTTTAAAAGCTGTTTTATTAGACAATAGTAACACTTATGCATCTATACCTGTTGGCCATTCTGTACATATGAAAGAGACCTATGAAAACCTAGAAATAGTGTTGAATAAAATTGGCTATTCGGCTCAAGGTTGGATGATATGTGGTGACTTGAAAGTAGCATACATGCTTCTTGGTCAGCAAGGCGGTTTTACCAAATTCCTATGTTTTTTGTGTAAATGGAACAGTAGAGCAATGGATCAACATTAGTGCAGAAAGAACTGCCCTGTGTGGTAGTCTTTAAAACCCAGCGAGAAGAACATTGTCCGCCAAAACCTTGTAGATCCTACAAACATTCTCTTACCACCTCTACATATAAAGTTAGGCCTCATGAAACAATTTCTAAAGGCATTGTCTATAGATGGACCTTGTTTCAAGTATCTCTGTCAGAAATTTCCAAACCTTTCAGAGGCTAAACTTGAAGAAGGCGTCTTTGTAGGACCTGACATTCGAAAAATGATGTTCGACGTAAACTTTGAAACCACAATGACCATACATGAGAAAGAAGCATAGGTATCATTCAAGCAAGTTGTTACAAAATTCTTAGGAAATGCAAAAGACCCAGAATATTGTACCATTGTAGCTAACATCTTGAATCGTTTTAAGAAACTAGGATTTTTGATGAGCCTGACATTCCACTTCTTGAACAGCCATCTTGATTATTTCCCGGAAAATTTGGGAGATGTTAGTGAGGAGCAGGGTGAGCGTTTTCACCAAGATATTAAATTGTTGGAAAAATGTTACCAGGGCCGCTGGAACATCAACATGATGGGAGACTACTTTTGGTCACTTCACCGTGAAGCTCAACAAGCGACTCATCGCAGGAAAGGCTACATAAGAAACTTCAAAGAAAAAAGAGAAAGGAAGTATAAACCAATTCCATCTGACTAGTGAAACCTACATCATAACGCTGTATCATTATTTCAAGTAACCTACTGTGAATAAAAACTATGATAGTGATTTAACATAGTGCTTCATTAATTTCACCATGAACCGTACAGATTTTAAATTCTATAACAAAGTTAATTTCTCAAAAACTATGGGTGATACAAAAAAACTAAAACCAGATTTGGATTCAGCACACAAAAATCTATAAAAAATCAGCTATTAAAGTAAACAAAGTTTTCAAAAACATTTTTTGTTGGCCTGTGTTTTTATCACATGTGAACAACTTATACTCCTAATTTTACTTCATATGATGAATTGAAATGAGGAAAATATCGTCAAATCACGAATCATGTCATTTATTTTACATTAGATACTTAAATAAAGTATACTCTAAATACTTTTCATATCCTGTCATCGTATGTACAACATTCGGGGAAATATACAACAAAAATGTTATGAAATGACAAAATATCATCAACATATACAAAAATACACATTTTACATTTTTCACTATCTTATTGAAAGCAACATACATCACATTTCGTAATACTATTACAATCAAGAGTATTATTATTAGGTATACGATTCAGTCACGAAGAAGGTGAACTTAAAATCATACCAAGTTGAGTTGCATGAAATATTTCCGAAACATTGAGCATTATTTCATTCATCTTACCAAAATTTGATGTTTTGTGGAGTGAACTTCCCTTCATTCTAATCGAACAAAATTAAAGTAACTTACCCAAGACAGACAATATGGAACAAGATTGACAAATACAAGACTAAAAGTAATCTATTTAAACATTCAATAATCTCAAATCTTATTTTGACGGTATGAATCTTTTTTTTCTAGTTTCGATAGATCTGAGTTATATCCATATATAGAATACCTAGTAACGTGATTTTGTAAAAATTTCGAAGTAGATTATATTCAAAAATGTAATTGAAAATTCCGACGGAAAAATTACAGAATATTAATTAAATCACACATCGAAACTGTGAAATAAGATATAAAATACATTATTCAAAGGTTAATATTTCTGAAGTAACGTCCTTTTGATATATGCCTGAACAATTTCTGTTTGTATATCACGTTATTGAATGTTGAACAAATTGAAAAAAAAATATATCCTTCATATTTTCTGGTATATATTCAAATTATCTAAAAGAACAATTCGTTCAGGTCAGTCTCAAATCACCTACACTGTAGGTTAATGGACTGACACCTATCAGAAAACAACTACTCCCCTGGCTAATACCACGAAGGGCGTTGGATTATATCCGACAGGTGTCAGTGCAGGATTCTGCACAGAAGCAATTTCAGCATATATTGTTGGCGGTACAACTTCAAGACCGGTTTCGAGCTATTTGGTCTCTCGTCAGTGCAAGGTAGTGGAGTCGATGATTTCCATTGAATAAAAATCTAATTCTTTTCAGAGTATCATTACTCGAACACGGCTGAAGCGAACGACAAATAACATATTTGTCATCGCCCCATCTGCCCGTAAACGAGGTACTAACCAACTGCATATGCGAATTGCACTTTCCTCGTATGAGGAAAAACCCTTCATATATAGTGAGGGGGCATACTAGAAGATTGGCTGAATATCAAATTATCTAAAAGAACAATTCGTTCAGGCTATTCTCTATCAGAAAACAACTACTGTCCTGGCTAATACTACGAAGGGTATTACCACCTGTCGAATATAATCTAACACCCTTCGTGGTTTTAGCCATTAACCGACAGTGAGTTGAGACTGACTTGAACGAATTGTTCTGTTAGATAATCTGATTTACAGCTAGTCTTCAAGTATGCCCCTTACTATACGCTAAATATTCATTAAAAAATAGAGAAAATACATCTTCAGTATTTTTAAAATATCTTCTTCTTCGGGGCTCAAAGAAGAAATTGTTTCTGCTACCCAACCAACTTTTCTTCAGATAATTTAATTCTTGAGAAACATTCAATACTGAGAAATATGAAATTCCTATTTGGTTATCCAGCCAGTTACCCGTTATCTTATATTGAGGATTATGATTCCTGAGAATAATAATTCACTCCACATAACAACGACATTCGGTTTTCCCGGTTAAGTTGGGAGCGGATTCCCAGTTTGCCAGGTCTCCAGAGGGATAACACCATAAATTAGTATAAGGCAACTATATTCACGACATCTTTGAATTAATTAAGGAAAACGGGTAAACCGAACTCTCTATGTAAGGAGCTGAAAATACAGTCATTTCAAGAATTCTTTGAAAGGTCAATCTTGTTATTGTGAAAATTTTCAAAGTGATAGAGGGTGAACCATTAATGTTTGTTATACCAAGAGCACTGTTGGAAATATTTATTATACATCAGGCAATTGTGAATATCCAGTTCAGAAAAATGAAACATTTTTGAACGGTGAGCAAGTAGGTCTGTCGGACTTTGCCTCGATGCTCCGACATATTTGGAACAGTCTCTATACAGTGACGTGAATGTCATTGAGCTTGAGAGTCGTGTGCCCTAAGTAGACAAAATGCGTCAGGAATAATAGCTTCCTGAATTTTTTTCACCAAGATTTCTGCCTCGCCGTGACAAACCAACATGAATTTGAGATTCAAGAGGGCATAATTCTATCAAAGACTCCAACAAAACGAACAACTGGGTAGAGTTTGCGGAGTTCGAGTAGTAAATATTGATACTTCATCTCTGTTTCCTCCTATTTTCGAAAGATATTCGCTTCACCGGGANTATTTTCAGATGTTACTATTTTTATTTGATTAATTTGAATTGCATTGATCAAAATGTTATTCAAAAACAGAACAGGATAGATTTTACCAAATAAAATCACTATATTCCAAATGATTTTGAATTTGAATCATTTGCTAGTTTTGAATACATAGCTTGCAAGCTATGCTGTACACAATTTTATTTTTTATTGGGAGTGAGTTTTCATCTATTCGCACTAATTCATTGAAATTACAATTTCTGGGCTGTTGAAATTTTAATATTTTGTTCATTTCCGACAACGATAAATGGTTTCGGATTTGTTTAATGCAAGGAATAAATTTAAGTCACCAGATTGACCTCAAAATATATTTTCCAGGAATTGGCTTATCAAGAAATAATTCAAGTCCTAGGTGATTCTAAAAAAGAACCTTCCATACACGACTTGAATGAAATGAAAATATTAGAAAGGATCATCAAGGAAAGTCTTAGGCTATACCCCAGTGTTCCATTCATTGCTAGAATACTAGAGGAAGACACGATGGTCTGCAGCAGAGTCATACCCAAGGGCGTACCGATCAATATACATATCTACGATATTCATAGGGATCCTAAACATTGGCCAGATCCAGAGAAGTTTGATCCGGATAGGTTTTTGACTGACAACTGCGTCAACAGGCATCCGTTCGCATTTGTACCATTTAGTGCTGGACCCAGGAATTGTATAGGTAAGTTGTTGCTGGATGTTATGAATCGGAATTGGCCGCGGTGGTAGTGCGCCCGACTCACGATCGGAAGGCCGTGGGTTCGATTCCCGCCTCGACCAGATATTTTTCTCGAGATAATTTATCTGGTTGAAGCTGGGATGATTCTGCAACCGTGTTAGGAATTACACGTTAAAAGGTAAGCCCTCGTTAGCTCGCACGAGTTTCTCAACTTCAGAGAGTTGTCGTTCTTATGAGGGCGACAGCTGATTAACGGAAAAACAGATTTTGAAAACTGATTTCAAACAGAATGAAGCTGTTTATGGCATTTATGGCTCATTGGCAAACAAAAAATTCGAGTGTTGAAACCGGTGATTTTGAAATGGTGTTTGAAAAACCTCAGTATGAAAGACTGACCTATGAGCTATCTTACATTCTTGTATTTTGATCCCTGCAGTCAACTCAATCTGACCAATGCCTCTTTCTGGGTTCCTAGTTGGCTGATGCCGACCTCCAGAGGTTTACTGAGATCCCCGATTCTACAAAAACACAGAACAAAGATAGCACAACAGAACCCTGTCCAAATCCTCATATCAACACCAGAATCTACTGCGTCGTTGCTTGAGTTTCAAGAATCCAATAGTCCACCTTTAGCATCCTCAAACACCTTTGTAGAAGCTAGCCATGTGTGCTAGCTCAGTGTTAGGAATGGATTTCGCATTAGGACGGCCCTTGAACCCAACAAAAACTTGAGCGTCTAGTTAGAAAACACAGAGACGATATATGAGACCACCAAGCAAATACAGCATTGCCTGGGGCCAACAAAAAACGTAAGAGACCCCAGATCGAAACCAAGAGTTTGCCGCATTCTATGTTCCCGTGACAAAGTATATATAGGCGTTCGAAAAGGTTACGATTATTAAAGTGACTGAGCCACACCATGAAAGCAGCTGTAGCAGAGCACGCATAAGTTATTTCGTTACAAAGACGACAAGTTCAACAAGAAGAGAAATACTGCTTATCTGGCCATACCGGTCTCATTGAGGAGATTGGACCGGCCGAAAAACAGGCACCTGGTTGGTCATGAGAGGCCCTTCCTCTTCACTTATGAATTTACCCAACTCTCTGGAAGATAATCCCTGTGCCAACGATGTGCAAAACATTAAACAACCGGTTAAGCAGACCAATGGCGGGTCGAAAAAGCACCGTCTGGTGCAGGACCACGAATCTTTGTTTTTGGGCTCAGGTTCCAACTAATTGCCTCGCAGTAAAGGCTGCAGTTGAAGGACGAATCCCGCTAGGCGATCGATATCGAAGCTCGGATTTTCAACTGATCCCCTTGGTGAGCCTGAATTATATTTGACATACGTGGTATGAGTGTGCTGTCGATCCCCAATACGTTTTTGTCAGGGAGATGTCATCAACTTCACTTATTTGGACTACTTGTCCCTCATTGACATTTGAATTCGTCAAATCAGTCGTGGTCCAGCATAGTACCACTGATGAAACCTATGACGGTACTAAACAGCGTTGGATGGTGTTGGATAACGAATGGTTTGTTTTTGGGCCCTGGTTTTAATAAGCCGGGCCTCTGGTCCGTATCTTCTTTGAATGAACCTAAAAGACATTTATCCTTTGGAAACTGATGACTAAATACTGTTATAATTACCAGATAGGTATCATTTCATTTTGTCAATATTGAATCATTTTGTTTTTCAGGTCAGAAGTTTGCCATGCTTGAGCTTAAAACAGTTTACTGTGGGATCTTGAGAAACTTTATATTGGAACCTGTTGATACCCCAAACACCTTGCGCCTGATACCTGACCTGATATTGAGAACAGAAAACGTTTCTCTGAAAGTAAGACGTTTCAGGTGAATGCTCTATTTAAATCGTAACAAAAACAAATATATTCACCTACACCAGAAAAATCTATTTGATTTCACAGGCCAACGATGAAATTTTTCTTTTTACTTAAAACACCTTTTTATTCTGTTTTTTCAGGGTGCTAAATCCAAATATGACACTTATTAGGCCGTGTCATCTACCACTCTTTCACATTTGCACATCAATATATTACATTTTTTGATTTATTACACAATTTAACAGCTTTTATATACTACAAATAAAATTGTAAAATAATTTGTGCTAGATGTAGAAGAGTTGGCAGCACTGATGAAATACATTTACTGTCTAGAAAAACTGGAATTATATTGTTCTGTTCACAGCTGATGTTTTGTTTATTGTCAACCTAACCTTACTTTCTGGTTTCCGGTGCATGTGCTCATTAAAATGTCTCATCGCGGTTGTAGAACTCTGCTGACAGTTTTTGTTATATTTGTGGTAAGTTTGTTATCAAAAAACATCAAACAAACATTACAGACTTTGTGAAAAAAGTTTATTTCTTATAATTTGGAATTAAACTTGGTGATCAGGATAAATCTTGGGCCTCTCATAAGGTATGTTATGTTTGTGTTGAAGATTTTAGAAAATAGTCAAAAAAGGAGAAAAAAGCCTTTAAGTATGCTGTTCCTATGGTATGGAGGGAACCTAGAAACCACACTGATGATCGCTACTTTTGTAGTATTGATATAATAACTGGCCATAACCCGAAAAACAAGAAGGTAATAAGCCGTAGATTTGCCGGACCCAGAACCTCCAGTTGATTTGAATCCTGTTCAAACTGAAATGTTTTCTGATGTACTGGTCTTTAAAACCCAGCGAGAAGAACATTGTAGATCCTACAAACATTCTCTTACCACCTCTACATATAAAGTTAGGCCTCATGAAACAGTTTGTAAAGGCATTGTCTATAGATGGACCTTGTTTCAAGTATCTCTGTCAGAAATTTCCAAATCTTTCAGAGGCTAAACTTGAAGAAGGCGTCTTTGTAGGACCCGACATTTGAAAAATGATGTTCGACGTAAACTTTGAAACCACAATGACCATACATGAGAAAGAAGCATAGGTATCATTCAAGCAAGTTGTTACAAAATTCTTAGGAAATGCAAAAGACCCAGAATATCGTACTATTGTAGGTAACATGTTAAAGAATTTTAAAAACTAGGATGTTTGATGAGCCTGATAGTCCACTTCTTGAACAGCCATCTTGACTACTTCCCGGAAAATTTGGGATATATTAGTGAGGAGCAGGGTGAGCGTTTTCACCAATATATTAAATTGTTGGAAAAATGTTACTAGGGCCGCTGGAACATCAACATGATGGGAGACTACTGTTGGTCACTTCACCGTGAAGCTCAACAAGCGACTCATCGCAGGAAAGGCTACACAAGAAACTTCAAAGAAAAAAGAGAAAGGAAGTATAAACCAATTCCATCTGACTAGTGAAACCTACATTACAACACTGTATCATTATTTCAAGTAACCTACTGTGAATAAAAACCATGANCTGAGAATAATAATTCACTCCACATAACAACGACATTCGGTTTTCCCGGTTAAGTTGGGAGCGGATTCCCAGTTTGCCAGGTCTCCAGAGGGATAACACCATAAATTAGTATAAGGCAACTATATTCACGACATCTTTGAATTAATTAAGGAAAACGGGTAAACAGAACTCTCTATGTAAGGAGCTGAAAATACAGTCATTTCAAGAATTCTTTGAAAGGTCAATCTTGTTATTGTGAAAATTTTCAAAATGATAGAGGGTGAACCATGAATGTTTGTTATACCAAGAGCACTGTTGGAAATATTTATTATACATCAGGCAATTGTGAATATCCAGTTCAGAAAAATGAAACATTTTTGAACGGTGAACAAGTAGGTCTGTCGGACTTTGCCCCGATGCTCCGACATATTTGGAGCAGTCTCTATACAGTGACGTGAATGTCATTGAGCCTAAGAGTCGTGTGCCCTAAGTAGACAAAATGCTTCCTGCATTTTTTTCACCAAGATTTCTGCCTCGCCGTGACAAACAAACATGAATTTGAGATTCAAGAGGGCATAATTCTGTCAAAGACTCCAACAAAACGAACAACTGGGTAGAGTTTGCGGAGTTCGAGTAGTAAATATTGATACTTCATCTCTGTTTCCTCCTATTTTCGAAAGATATTCGCTTCACCGGGAGAGAAGAACTACATTAAGATTATCAGCTTGTATTTGCCTGAAGGCGAGGAAGAAGTAGTTTCACTAAATTCGGCACCTCTCAGTCTCCCCGGAGCATGACGCAAAATTGGTATCTCATCAGTTATGATGAAGTACCGAAAATGGTGATCAAGCATTTCCAGGACCGTTTCATCTCAGTTGAAAAACACAGAGACCCCATATATTGGACATGCCGACAGCAAGTGCTTAGGGTTTCAGGTGCTCCACATGCACCTGTTGTCAGGAACTTTCATAGCCATCATGAGGTTGCGGAAGACTGAGGTGTTGGAGACACCATCCTGACAGACCATGAAGAAGCCCTCGGTTTTCGATATCAGCTCACTCGACCTCGAGGAAAGCAAAGGTCAGGTGTTTTGATGAACCGAGATCGTCAATATTATTGAGGAATTACCCATGCATCGGCTTTTTCTTGTATAGCCGCAGGAGTTACGGTTTCCTACGTCTTTCATGTGTCTTTTGCTGAAAAAGTTCTACTTGCCGATAGAATATTGGCCACCTCGTTCAGTTTAGAAAGTCAAATCAACTTCTTCGGCCAATTTGGCAGCTGCTTCAAAGAGAAATGCATTGACCCCTGCACGAACCATGCAGAGAAGATGATCTGAACTCCTGATGACTTTACAGTCATCAGGCCAAAACCATTCTGTCATAAAAAAATTCCAAACTCAGAAGCCCACGACGTTCCTCTTGTGGAAGAACGTATAACTGGAGAACGGACGATTTGGGATCATCAATTTCGGGGTCTTCACGTAGAGTCGGTACAGCTTCTTAGTTACTACTCGGATAAAAGCGAGCAGGTGTTCTTTCCCGAGAGTTGCGAACGAGTTCCACAATGTATTTTTTTCTGGATTCCACCCAAAGGTCACTATATTCATTTCAGCCTTCAGATGTTGAAGGATTCTGCCATCTTGGAGCTGCACCTCATCTTCGTAATACTCGAATCATCCTGTTTTGATATGAATCGTTGCACATTTGTTTAATCCGAAATCCACTCTACCACTCTTTGGAACTGTTAGAGATAGTTTTTTCCAGAGACACCCCTGGTCTCAGAGCATATGATATTGACGGAAGTGAGAGGAAGGAAAGAAGGGACCTGAGGGAATGTTTTTGAAACACGCCCCTTCTGAAAGTGACCTATTATATTTGAACTTCAGCTTGGTTAGATGATATGGTAAAAGGAATGTTTAAGAGTTGTATCAGGTATCCAAGGTATATGACTATTTGGTCTAGTAACGATCAAATAGAAAGCACGATGAGCCCCTGAGATGTAATTATTGCCTTGCGAAATTCAATCCTGTCCATAGAGGGGTTACGCCTATTCTTTTAGAGTCCTGCGTCATAATCTGTCGATGAGCAAATTCTTCTTGCAGTCAGCCATATCTGTTATATCCGCTTTGGAATGTTGCGTCAACTGCGGAGAGTATTCGTCCATATAAGATGTCGGAAAACAACTTATAGATATAATTCGGCAAGTTATCGGTCGGTAATTATTTTGGAATAGACGAACCTCCGTTTGTAGAGAGGATAATTATCCCGCCTTCGACAAACCAAGACAACATCTGGTGCTTGCTTTTTGAATAGGAATTGAAAATTCTGGAGAGGTGGCGGTGAGGGACCCTTTCAGGACTTTTAAGTAACCAAACAATCCAACTGAGGGTCTATAGAGGAGATGGACGTTTACTAAACAATTTCAACTGTTTTTCCTTCAACGTCGAATCAAGAATGGGAGCTTCCTAGTTCTCCAACTTCCGATCCTATTAACCTAGAAAGCTAGGTGGAATATAAAGAGTACATGCTTTGGGGATGAAGTTTCGGGGATGAATCTCAAATAGAAATTGGGCAATATTGTGACAAAAATTGACGTGTTTCTGATAATCCTTGCTCGCCTGTCCAATGCTCACCTACATGGAGAGTCACGGTTCCGTTGTAACATCATGTATCTGTATCTGTAGAGTAGTTCTATTTGAACTGGCTGGTATCCTGAGCATTATTTGGTTTTTGAGCCGTCTCATTGCAAAGAATTTTCGTTACATTGGAATATCGTATTGAAATTTCCATGCCGTTAGTGGAGTGAACAAAGTCGAAGGCAAATCGATTTCAAACTACGTATACCAATAACCATATTTGCTCAACTGATCATGATGGAAAGTACAGAGTAGTTCAATTTCTTTCAAACGAATTCAAACAACAACAAATTCCAAACAATAGCCTTATACTAATTTACACACTGACCTCGGTAAAACCTACCAAATCCTTACCCTGTTTCAACAACATGACTAGACAACAGAAATCGCAACTTTGTTACTATGGTGAAGCGCCGGCTGGAGCCTTATGGTGTGCCTCAGGGACGCTGCAGAAGCTGATCTCCTCGAGGAGTGCGTTAGGGTGGTGGTGACGGTGCCGTGTGGTTCTCCAGAGCCGTATCCCAGACAGGACCTGGATCCTCTGACCGCTGGGAAACATAAGGACAGGCAGCTCGATATCCAGGTGAAGGGTGGTATGTTTCTACATGGATCGAAGTTTAAATGTTTTAGTATTTTGCAGCATCTATAGAGAGAAATCGTTGAAAGTGATGTTTGGGGAAAAGAGCAGAATAGAACAAAAAGATTTTTGTATGACAAAGAGAGAGAGGGGAATATCACCAGGTAAATATTTTTTTAAAAACGATATTCCCGATACACATTATTCAGTTTCGAATTCAGAACATACAAGTGGAATAAGTGGGAAACATTCTCGTTGTCGATCATCATTGAAACCTCGTTCTTGAAATCTTCGTCATGAACAACACTTGTGAGATGATATTCATGTAGCAAGTGTTTCCTAAATTATCTAATCCAATTTCCTTATCAAGATTTTCAGGACAACTCTCTACTCAAAATAACATTTTTAAACAAAATTAGTTTTCACGATATCTCAATCATTTTCGCATCATACAGAATACAGGGCTTTTCATGATGAGCGTTAATTAGCCGTTTCTGACAAACTATTTAACGGATCAACCTGAAAATTTCACAGTATTCATAAATCAATATGACCTACACGCCTAAAATATTTCAGACGAAGCGGCGTTGTCGCTTGTACTATAAAGTAGCGGCTTCTTTGATTTTTCAAATGAAACACCCTGTATATAATATCATATTATGATTCATTATCACTTTGTCAACGAATTCATATACTATTTCCCCATACCTATCTATTACCGTTTAGAAGATATAA